TGGTCAATCAGAGCACACCTCGCTTTTCAGACCGATGAGCTTTATAAAACTCGAGGAGAAACAATAATGTACAGTATGTGGAAAATAATGTGTTTTTTTAACCTTAAACCGCATAAACACATTTCATTATACCAAATACACAAAATAATGTTCTTTTTAGCAACATCATATGACCCCTTTAATTTAAACAGGGCAAATGTTCAATCTCCCTTGAGGTTTTAAAGAGCTTGAAGTAATTTGCACTGTACTAACTGCTGTGCTCACTGGGTGCAAAGTGTCACATCAAATCAAGTTTCTTATTTAACACACAAAAAAGAAAAGGCCGTAAGGGGATGATGATATTCTTTGACACTCATTTTCACTCTTGGTGTCTTGGGATATGATACCTTCTCAGACTCAATCGATAAAATTACTTTTTAAAGGTGTGTGATTTTTTTCCAGACTAATGTGCAAAGACAACTATAAATAAGCCTAATGGGACGATTTCCTGAAAAGTATAAACAATTTCAGGACATTCCTCAGTTTGTTTGAGTGGTCAAACATGTTAACCAGTGGCTTAAATTTGGGACGGGATCAGAGTTAGGAAGATTACTTTAAAAATATATATTATTCCAGTATAAATGATTAATTGCTGACTGAAAATGTAATCAGTAACTTAATCCAAATATCACAACATGAGTATAGCAATCAGATTAATCATACTTACTTTTGAACTTCATCACAACATATTCACGTCCTCCTCCACAGCAATTGACATGTGTGTTGTATTTTATACTCAAGATGTCCAGCGCTGAAATAAAGCTGTATATGTTTGAGTCAAGCCAGAAAAAGTGCTTTCTTCACACAATATAATTATATTCAACCAAAGAACACACTGGCATGTTGATAAAAATAGATAATAGATTGATCTTTTGGTAGGGTATGCACAAGTGCAGAACAATGTTGTAGTCTTACGCAACAGCATTATCACTCTTGTGATTGATGGACAGACATGAGTTGTTAAAATATGGAAGGTGGATAGGACCAAAATCCTTTAAACAGAACGCATGAAATTTGACCGTGTCAACATGCACTGTTTGTCTGTGACAACACACACAGCAGGCAATGGATTTGCTGTATTCGAAACTATATTTGCATATGTGATGCAATGGTACGTTGTTGTATATGTATACAACACATCAGACGTCATGTTTATTCATGAAGGATATTATAATGGTACACTGGTATGCACATATGTAAACATCAGAGGTTATATTTGTTCATGAGGGATAATATATTGTTATGTTGTGTGATGTCAGTCGTGCTTTTTAGTTGTTTTGTTCAACATTCTTTCTCAGGTAGAAAAGTCTTAATTTAAATTGTAACTTATTAATTTACTCCAGCACAGTAGATATCAGTAAAGCAGTGTACTGTAGCAAATTAGCACATTATTAAGAAAGGCGATTTCCAAAGATTCATTAAAAAACCTTATACTCACTTCTTCTGTAGGTGAAGCTGGATCACGAATGATTCGCATTCCCTTCAAAAACAAACGTAATCCACTGCATCTTTAGCGGCTCAGATGTCGGGAGTAAATGACGACTGCTATGTTCATTATTACATCCAACAGCAGAACACCTCAATCGCTTAGGAGTCATTCTTGTCTACATCTACTCCGGCGGTGAAACAATGGCGGACTGATGACAGCTCACTCAGGGCTGGTCTAAGGTAAGATGCCAGTCCAGTCTGTGCTGAAACGCTACTGCCAATCAAACTATCGTGGGAGGGGCCTGTTTTTGTGACATCACAGACATGCATCTGAGATCGGCTCGATTTAAGAAAGGGGTAAAGATTTTAGTAGATAAAAAAAAAACACTGGGTGGATTTTTATCATTATAGGGTGGTTGTGTACACACACTGCCAACACACATTTCAGTTCAAACAACTTTGAAAAAGTCTAAAAGTGCATGTAGCATCCTATGACCCCTTTAACATGGCCAGAATGTGCTTGTCTACACATACAAAAGAAACACGTTCAAAATTGCCACCTTAATGCAGACAAACAGTGCGTGTTGACACGGTTAAATTTCACATGTTCCAGTTAAAGAATTTTGGCCCCATCCACCCTCCATATTAAGAGCACACTTGATTTACATGTGCATGTTAAGAGGTGTGTAGAGCAAAATTGTGATGATTTCAAATCCTGGTGTTTCAGAAAGCTGAAAGAAAACCCTAATATTTTAAACTGGGGAGTTAGCTGGATACTGCATACTGCAGTATGCCTTCATTGAAAGTAACATCATGTGTAAATATCAAGGACATTTAGATTTTCCATTTCATAACCCCTTTAAGCATATTGTATTACCCAAATGTAAATTGTGATATACGTATATCAATTGAGTGCATACAATCCAACAGAAAATACTAAGGTTTAGTTCACCCAAAAATGAAAAGTGTCATCACTCTCCTTCATGTCTTTCCGAACACATAATATTTTTATTCTTCCATAAAACACAAAATGGACGTCTTAGACAGAATTTCTGAGCTTCTGTTTTCACAGAAAATGAGAGCTCTGGCAAAAAGAACTACTTTTATGGTTCTCTTTGTCCTTGTTGGACAAGGAAACCATCTACTTTCCTTGATGGGAAAGAGCAGTTCAGACATTCTGCCTAACATCTCATTTTGTGTTTCAATGATGGTATAGTTAATATGATTTGAGGGTATGGGGGGGTGATTTTGGACACATCCTGGCCCTCGAGATCCAATCCAACCCTAATCGAACACACCTGATCAAGCTAATTAAGGACAAGGGCTGTGTCCGAAATCGCCCCCTATACCCTTAAATAGGGCACTATTTGAGGGAACAGCCATTTTTAGTGGTGTCCGAAACCACAGTGGACGTTCTCGAGTGCACTCATTCAATCCCACAATGCACTGCAAAAACGAGTGTACTCTTCAGGAAAGTGGGTCTTGAGGCCCAGAGTTGCTTTATAGTCCAAATTATGCATTTATACAGTATGGATCACATGACATAAAGAAAAAAAAACATATTGTGGCTACAAATTAAGAATTTGTTCCCACAACTTATTAATATGTGGTCACATTTTATTCATTCACTCCCTTTCAGGATTGGCTAAATTGTACTAATCTGTTAACTCGTTTGAACAAAATCAAAACTAGAGAACAAATTAGCACAAAGTGGTCACCGTTTACTAAAAAGAAGGTCTGAATAAATAAGTCATGGGAACGAATTCTTAATTAGTGTAGTTTTTTCCCCTGCATGTTATGTGTAAGTCTTCAGACATTTGAGTGATTTATGTAAATCTAGTCCATGTTTATGTGGGCTGCATCATATTACTGCATGGAAATAGCAGCCTGATCCCATAATCAAATTAAGGGCTTTCTGTGAAAGCGTATCAAATGCAGCGAACAGACTTTCATTTGCAGATATAGAGTTTTTCAATACCAAATTTAAATAGCCAGTGTTTGGGGAAAACTATTGTTTGTCATCATCTGCATGTGTGTGCGGACATTAAACGGGATCATCTGTAAGTCAGATGCAGCTATTGTGTGCACACCGTGACACTGTGTGTATTCGCGACCAGCCATGTTCATTATTGTTCACATTACAATGCCTTTGTCTTTCCGTAGGCCCCATATGTAGTGTTCTCGTGGAGTGCCTCGGTTGCCGTGGAACAATAATTATTGGCGGGATCCTGAGCGGACTGGGAATGGCAGCCAGCTCATTTGCACAGACATTAGTAGAGCTGTATATCACTGCTGGAATTATCACAGGTAGGTAGGCCTGTATATCACCTTCTCAGAAACAGTGGTGTGAATATGATTGCTCAGTAGGCCGCATGGACTGAATTATCATCTTTCCTTCTCAGGAATGGGATTCTCTTTGTCTTTCCAGCCGTCGATTACCATGGTGGGTCACTACTTTGTGCGGCGCAGGGCATTCGCCAACGCCTTGTCTTCCACTGGCACCGCACTCGGGCTGAGCACCCTGCCATTGCTAGCCAACTATCTGCTGAGCAGCTTTGGTTGGCGGGGCAGCTTTCTGGTGCTGGGAGGGGTTCTGCTCAACTGCTGCGTTTGTGGGGTCGTAATGCGCCCCCTTGGGGCCAAACCAAAGATGGAAGCCAGAACCGGACAGATGAACAATCGCCAACTCAAAACCAATTGCCTTCCCATTTCTCAGGAACGAGAGGGTCTGAAAGGCCGTCTACAGGCCACTCTCTCCACCATCATATCTTTCCTGCGCAGGCACATGGCTTTCGACCTGCTGTGCAGTAACCCGTACTTCTGTGCCTATGCTCTTGGGGTGTCCTGGATGATGCTGGGCTTCGTGGTGCCCCTAGTTTACCTGGTTCCCTATGCCACCGCTTTTGGTATGGATCAAGACCGAGCCGCTCTACTGATGGCCATCCTCGGGTTGATCAACATCACAGTTCGGCCCGCGACAGCGCTGGTTTTCGGGCTGCCTCGCTTCCGTGGAAGCCATAACTTTGCCTACCTGTTTGCCACGGCGGTGCTGATCAACGGATTAAGCAACTGCATCTGTGGGATGGCGACCAGTTTCCCAGTACTGTTGGCATATGTTATAGTGTTTGGGTTTTCCATGAGTCTCATCGGCTCCTTGTTGTTCACCGTACTGATGGACACGGTCGAGATGAGCCGCTTCCCATCCGCCCTGGGCCTCATCAGCATTATGGAGAGCATCATGCTGCTGCTTGGCCCGCCGTTAGCAGGTGATGTAATGCATTTTTCTTACAGTTTGCTTATGCTTTAGCACTACATTAGTGGGTTAAAACGGCATGCCTGCTTGTATTTGTCAAGGCCAAAAAATGCCACCTTCATGTGACTTTGTTTTTTGTAAGTACATACACTGTGTTCTTTTCCATACAACAACGAAGTGGCTCTCACGCTCCAAAACAAACAAACAAACAAAAAAGCACCATAAAAGTAGTTCCTTTGATGTAGATAGTCAGTTCATGTTCAGTATTCAACAATTAAAGTCATAGAATAGCTTTATGATAAACAAACGACAATTTAGGTCAGTATTTCATCAACATTTCTTCCCCTCCATCTGTAAGGTACTTCATCAGGAGAGCTGAAGAAAGATTTGGCGTGTCTTGTGACTAATTTTTCCTTGTCATTTTTTTTAAATTTTTTTTTATTATTATGGCTTCTGTAAATGATTATACTCATATGTAGTTGGAACAATCAGTGTAGGTTACTTTTTTATTTATTTGATTTATTTATTAATCTATAATTAATTAATACATATTTAAATACAAATATATTACATATTAATTAAATAAAAGTCATAAAGCTCTCCGAGCTAACGGGGCAATGAGTTCACATGGTATATTCAAAAGATGTATTTGTCACATCAACTCTTATAAATGTCTGCAAACCATAGCTCTTTTGTAGAACACTTCTCATGACAAACATCTGACTGGTCAGACAGTTTACCTGTGATTACAGAGTGCCTGATTTGATACAGACTTGACACATAGTGTCAGTAATACTGCACCTGATCAAGTCTGAATAATGGAAGGTAAAATAATGATCACAACTATTACATTCTTTTTATTCTGCATCCCATGCCAGTAAAAAACAGCCCAAAGTAGCGCAATGACCATGTCCCGAACATCAAAATATGTCATTTCCATCCCTAAAATACATATTTTACAGTCAATGTTATGCACATTGATCATAAACACAGCTCAAAGGCTTCCTACTAGTGGCCTTCTTCTCAAAACATTTAGCACAGTTTTATTACTGGTAGAATGCAAAATGTTTGAGTAAAAGCATTTCAGACAAATGTAATTTATGTAATATTTAAAACCTTTAACTCACTGGGGAAAATCAACCCATGGCAACAGTTTAAAATCAGCAGTTTAAAATCATTGACAAATATCTTATATCGTAAGGTGTGCTCTCTTTACACAGTGTGCGCGCGATCGCGAAATCGAAAGTGAACTGCGACTGCCAGCGCTCATTCAAAAGCCATTTAAATACCCCACATATTGATAGCGGCTCCCTGATGCGCGAAAAATTATATACAATATTAGAATGTTTGCGGGAGCGGACACAAAAATCGCGGGAGCAGATGGGAGCGTGCGGTAATGGTCAAAAATTCAGAGAGAGCGGGATCAACAAGCCTCGCGCTATCGGGCAGCGCTGCAGCCAGTCAGTGAGCGCCGTAACAGATGACGTCAAATCTTGCAGGATTCCATAAATAAACTACACAGAACCCCCACTACTCGGACAAAGACACACAATGAAAAGATGATACAAAATGTTATACTTTGGAAAATGGCATTCAAGACTTTTTAATACTTTTTAAGGGCCTTAATTTTCGCTAAATTGATTTATCAACTTTTAATACTTTTTCAGACCCCGCGGACACCCTGAATATATAAGTGCAAATGACAAGTCTCGGTTAGCCTAACGCAGTACACGTAGCTAGGTGTATATATACACTCTAAAAAATGCTGGGTTAAAAAGGGACAAACCCAGCTATTGGGTTGTTTTGACCCAGCGGTTGGGTTGTTTTGACCTGACAAAACTGTGTAACATACTTCTGTGGAACGTAAACGATATTTTGAAGAATGTTAGTAACCAAACAGTTCTGGTTTAAATTACAATGGAAGTCTATAGGAACCAAAACTGTTTAGTTACAAATATTCTTCAAAACACTCGCAAACTAGTTAATATCTGTACATATGTTACTATTTAAAGGTTTGGGGTCAGTATGTTTTTTTTTAAGTATTACTTTTATTCAGAGTACGCATTAAATTGATTGAAAATGACTGTAAAGACAAAATATTTCTATTTCAAATAAATGTGGTTCTTTTGAACTTTCTATTCATCAAAGAATCCTGAAATAAAAATGATATCTCGGCACAAATATTAAGCAGCACAACTGTTTTCAACATTAACAATAATAAGAAATGTTTCTTGAGCAGCAAATCAGCATATCAGAGTGATTACTGGAGGATCATGTCACACTGAAGACTGGAGTACTGATGCTGAGAATTCAGTTTCGCATCACAGGAATAAATTACATTTTTAAATGTATTACAATAGTAAACTGTAATTTTAGAAAGTAATAATATTTCACAATATTACTGTTTGTACTGTATTTTTGATCAAATAAATGCAGTCTTGGTGAGCACTTTGTGACTTTTTTCAAAAACATTTCAAAATCATACTGACCCCAAACTTTTAAACGGTAGTGTAACTGAATATTTTGTACTTGTACAGTAAATGGTATGTTATAGTTCCAACATCTACCAGCAGGGGCTGTTTTCATCATGAAGATGTCTAAATATTACATGACAAAGCAATTTCACAATTCACACAATTACATTTTTTTTATATTTTAATAAATGTTAATATGTCTTTAATAAACAAATTGTTCTATTAATGAAATAAAATGTATGATTAAAACTAATTAAAAAATTTATAAAATACACTTTATAAATGAATCATAAACATTGATACATTTTATTTCCGTTACTCAGTGGTGAGCGTAAGACTTCTTTTGAGAGCTTTAAAAAAAAAAAAACTTACCATCCCAACAGTATTACAATAAATATCTTTAAAAAAAAAAAAAAAACACTTTAAATAACCCTAAACATATGTAGTTATAAATACAATATATATAAATGTATAATATTCTCTTTATGTTTTATAAAATGGATAGTTCAGGTCCTTGATTCTGACTGGCTGAGCCAAGTTCGAAGCTGTTGTAAATTACTCTACAAACATACCTTTGTTTACATTTGTGTGTTGCTCGGCAACCACTTTGTTGGAACCACAACCGTTTCTGAGGAACTACATTGTTTAGCGGAAGAATGTTTTTATTAATATCATTACACTTTATTTGCTCGGTTTTATTTTGTGAAACCTTACTATATATGGAATAACCGTTTTATAAAAGCAGTATGCCCCGTGAAGCTGTGGTTTACAGTGAATTTATAACAGTTATAAATTTACTGTAAACCACGGCTTCTTGGGGCTTATTGCTTTATGTTTGTCAGTAGAGCACAATCTAAAATGTCAACCAAACAACGTGTAGTTTCATCTTGGGCACAAGTCATCACAAGTCAACCCTGTTCAATTTCTGAAATCCTACAAAAATGTTCTGTGAAAGGCACGCATTTTATAGAATGGGCCATTCACTAGATACTTTCTGGACCTTTTCACCTGGAAAATAGCATCTGTAAAAAAAATCAGGACTTTTTTCCATGACTGTTGAAAGAAACCATAACTCCACACTTGCATTTTCCGTTTATTTGCACATATTAGACAACCAATCTTACATCTTGATATATGATTTGAAACCAATGCACAGTATGTAAAATTCACTCCGTGTCAAAACATGCCATAAAGATTCTGAAATAAATTAAACAGCACATCAGCCCAATTTTAGTATCTACAGACTGGGCATCGCTGCCATGTTTACAAATCTATATACATGAGATAGAACAAAACCAACCAACAAAGTGCGCGATAACTGTGAAATCAAAGACTCAAAGGGGGAAATTAATACTAACAAGTGCTCCTATACTTGATGTTAAAAGTTTGGCGTAAAAGAACTGAACTTAAATACTGTGAAAAAAATAAGTTGGCTTCCGTTCCACGAGTGAAATAAATAAACGGTGAATATCAAACTCACCAGCAGATCCAGCAGAGGCACATGGGATAGAAATGAGGTTCTGTGACGAAGGTCACACTGCACACAGACTGATTTACAGTCAAAGCCGTGACAAGTGAAACAGTATCTCTTTGTTATGCGTCAATATAGTGCGATGCCATCATAACCACTGCAGCTCGTGAATCTAAACACAGTAAACATTAGGTAACTGTGGATTTTGAAGTGCAGTTTCAGAAACATACATACAACCCTGTTGAAGCCCTAAAATAGTGGTTGCATCATGCAAACTGGTGGCCAGTCAGCTGATGTAACTGGGTTAATAATTCATTAGAGCGCTTTTAAAGGTAGCCGATGTTTCCATGCTATTGAACATGTTTTCTTGGCATTCATTCCAGTAAAACATCTGCTGACCTCCACATTAAGACCCTTTACTGAAGCTGAAAACGGTGAACATGTAAATCCAGGCTGAGGGGACGTTCAGATTTACCTCAGATCCCACAAACACGCATACAACCCACACACATTCATCTGCATTAAACATACAGTGATGTTCACCTCAAAAGAAAATCCCTTTAACATCTTTTGAATTGTGCGACACACTAAAACACTCACACAGAAGCTGTGGTCTGACTCAGACCTTTGTCGTTTTGCTGGCTTTAGGTGAGACCTCGTGAGAACAGAGGTCACAGGAACGGACCCTCACGCCTGACATGTATCTGTCAGACATGCTGGAGGCACGCCATCTCAGTCTCTCTCTCACACACACACACACACACATTCTTTCAAGTGTCCTCTCTGTTTCCACATTGTGTCCGAGCTTGTGTGGAGGTCGCTGGGAAAGTCTCTCACACGCTGAGAGGGAGCATGCCGGGAGGAGACACGGTCCGCGGGGAAGCCATGGCTGTCAGAGGATCCAGGCCATTCATATTCCTGTGAAGAACAGAGATGAGCAATACATCAGTAAACTGAATTATGCAAGTATTATACATATTAAGTATTATAAATCTTCAGTTAAACCGCTTGGGGTTGGGTGATATGATCACACATTTTAACCTTGTCATATGCATCACTTAACCATGTCAGTGCTACACATCAGCAAACTGTAATTAGGCTTGTCACTACACCAAACTGTTATACATTGAACACAACCTCACAGGTTTTATAATTCCCAATATTACCACATAACAAATTAATAACCTGAATGAATTATACAACTACTATAAGTATGTCCAACCTTACCTGGATACACACAGTACACGTCAAACTTCTTGAGTACTGCATACTCATGTAAAGCAATAGATACTATATAGCAAATCTTGGCTGCATGATATATAACGTAAACTATATTATCGGTCAGCTGTAATTGTTAAATGCTAAAGGCATTAAGATATTAAAGGGATAGTTCACTCAATGAAGATTCTGTTATTTACTCGCCCTCAAGTTGATTCAAACCTGTATGAGTTTCTTCTGTTGAACACAAAATAAGATATTTTGAAGCAAGTTGGTAACCAAACAGATGGCGGTAGCCATTGACTTCCATAATACTTTTTTTCCCCATGCTATGAAGGTCAACAGCTACCGTTAACTGTTTGGTTTCCCACATTCTTTAAAATATCTTATCTTCTTTTGTGTTCAGCAGAAGAAACTCATACAGGTTTGAAACAACTTGAGGGTGAGTAAACGATGACAATTTTCATTTTTGGGTGAACTATCCCTTTAAGACATTATAAACATTAACATGATGATTTTCTGTAAAGCTGCTCTGAAACAATGTGTATTGTGAAAAGTGCAATACAAATACATTTGAATTCACTTGAATTAAGACAAAACATAATTAATAATTAAAAACAAAGACAAAAGATAATTAATATCTATTAGCCTAATTATTTTCCATAAATAAATGTCTAACAAATCTCCCCAGAAAGCTGTGCAGTCGTGTGGGCCTGGTGAGCAGACAGAATAGAAAGCTAAGCACTTACGTCTTGTCAAAATACGTAGTGTGAAGCGAATGAGAGAACTTGGTTGCGTTGCTGTTGATGAGGTTTCCATTTCCTGTTGCGTAATTTTTCCTTGCTGCCTGGTCCTTGGCAAAGTTCCTACAAGCAGCTAGTTTAGACTCAAGAGCCTGCACAAAAAGAGACATCCCAAGTTTTTCCATTAATACGTGCATCTAATTTTCGTTTGAGTCCATTCTGATACGGAATCAAAAGTAGCTCTTTCTAAGTGTTTAAGTGAAATTTTACCCCAACTTTCCGCAGTAGATCACCAACAATGTTAAGGGCTGAGATCCGTGCAGACGGTGTGAGGGGGGAGTTTCCACAGCCATTGGTCAATGCTTTGGAGAAAAAAAACAGAGGTAAAATAGATGTAACTGCTGGCAGTCATGATAATATACAATATATGCACAAAATGCTGATACATAATACACACGATACTCAAAATTGCTGAAATTGAATGAATATTTAATTCATACTATTTAAATAAAATTTAAAATTTTAAGAAACTAAGAGAAAACGTAAGTGTTTTAATTTTACATTATCAATTAAAGGGTTAGTTCACCCAAAAATGAATATTAGCCCATAAATTACTCACCCTCAATGCATCCTAGGTGTATATGACTTTCTTCTTTCAGCAGCAAAGGAAAACCAGTCTCCTCTTGGCATATATCGAAATCCTCTGACATTCTTCTTTACAAATCCTCGTTTTGTACTTCTAATTCGTGACCGTTGTTTTGTTTTGATCTCTCCCCTGCGCTTCCGCGTTCGTCACTTCAGAGCGGCGCATGAGCAACGCTGACCTCATAAGTCATCCGCCCAGAGCTGCTTCTGTGTACATCAGTGAGCGCAAGCTAGATTAAAGTGATTATTACGTTTTAAATATGGTTATTTTTCTTATAAAAACGCATCGATTCGCTACAGGAGGCCTTTGTTCACCCCCCCAGAGCCGTGTGAGACACTTTTTTTAATGGATGGGTGCTTTTTATTTCATTTCTTTTGGACTGAAGCACTGCAACACCCGCTGACTGGCATTAAACAGCTTGAAAGATCAAAGACAATTTTTTATATAACTCCGACTGGATTCGTCTGAAAGAAGAAAGTCATATACACCTAGGATGACTTGAGGGTGAGTAATTTATGGGCTAATTTTCATTTTTGGGTGAACTAACCCTTTAACAAGGCTGTTGTTATTGATCAATAATAATAAACTCAATGACCAAATACAGCACCAACCTTTGGAAGCAATGAAAGGATGCTCCATGTTTTTCCCCACAGGTGTGGCTGGGAGGGACAGGGAGGCCTGCACTGCTGAGTCCGTCTTATCAATGTCTAGGGTGGGAGAGCTGGGGGCCGACATCCTGGCAACATCTGAAGTCCTCTCTCGAACTGCCAACTCTTGCCTCAAATCTACAAGAACATGCATATTTAGCACAGATAAACCTGCACAAACTGTTGTGTGTTCAGTTCTTAAACTTCATAGCATCTGCTGCAGTATGCTTATTACCACAGAAAAAAAAAAAAAAAAA